TATATATATATAACTATAATATATATATATATATATATATATATATATATATATATATATATATATATATATATATATATATATATATATATATATATCCGTATATCTATTTATATATCTACAAATCTATCTATACATACATACATCAATCATATACAGTAAAGATTATAATATACTCTTGGCACCGAGATTTGACACTCAGTTCACCGTTGACACTAATATATACGGTCGTTAGTTTGTGACTCGTGAGTCGACGCTTGTCAGTGAATTACATAGCCTTCTTATCGCACGGTGAATTGCCGTCCTGCGAACGTTAGTTCGACCTTTAATACATGTATACATACTATAGTTCGACCTTTTAATACATGTATAAATACTATATTCTCATTTCTTTTCTACTAGAGAGAGGACATAGAGGGTCATGACTCATGGCTCATGCCGTCACGGCCTCCTTCAACAAATTACACTTTACCCATTGAATGCATTTGTATCCCGCGCCCTTTTCCTTATTTAGGCAACCTGGATGGCAAAGTGCTTTCGCCAAATAAAAAAGCACCGTGCATATTTCCCCCAGATCTAAATCAGACTAGATGACAGTAGGAGACACCCAATTCCTAATTGTTCTCAAAAATTATTAACCTTTTCGGAACATTTGCAATATATGTGGTTTTTATGAGTTTACCGGTCTATTTACATCTATAGAGCTTATGTATTGCCATCTGAGGGCTGAGGCTCTGACTCTCAGGCGCGCTCTCTAGACACTACTAGAGAGAGAAAGGATGTATTAATTTCGACTTTCACTTTTGGAAATATATACTTCTGAATCTAAAAAATATGTATATTTGAGTTTGTTTTTTTCAAAAGCCTATGAAAACCCGATTTCCTGTGGGCGATTACCAATACCTAAGTCTGTGGAGTGTGGACTGAAGTCTGAAGGCAGAAAGTTAAAAGTACAACTAGTTGTACCCGTACATGCTTTTTTTAATTTTTAGGTCTCTTCTCTTGGTACCCCGTACAAGGAAATAATTATAGTCTATTTCCGTCATGATGCCGAGTGCTGGTAGTATGTATCAGACTATCAGTATAGGTCACCGCATTGTCTTCATGCCTTTCAATTAGCAAACGGTGTATCAGAGACGCTGAGCAAATTCCACAATCCTTACCGAAATCCCGTATTCCCCCTTTCCGGATTATATTGTGCTGTTCCATGCGTCATCGTCTGTAGAGGTTGGTCAAAGATTCACTTTAGAAGATGAGACTACCCGTCTCGATTGCGATTAGCTATCTAACGCTAGCTGTGAGTACACATGCACAAACGTGTACGGCACCATGCTCGTATATGACCTTAGAACTCTACCCAGAGACTGCTGGGTGTTCAGATGTGGACAATTTATTGGCTAGTAGTGACGTTCCCACCACAGGCGACTGCGTGCCCCTCAACCCACAAGGTCAAACAGTCAGGACACTGGGCGTTACAGTTCGATATCAATGCTATACGGAGACATATGCTGTGAGTGTGTACGTGGACTCAATGTGCGAAACAACCCAGGTAGTTAACGTTACCGACTACACACCTGGCACATGTGATAGCGTATATCTCACTGCATTGGGTCCTCTGGCCATTCAAGGTGTCGCAGATGCCAGCACGTGCACACCAGGCACAGTGGCAGTCGAACAACAGGTCGCCAATACCAATCGTATAGATGAGGAGAGTTTCAAAGACGACCAGGAATCGGCAGACGATGGAAGTGGCGACAATGGAACCCGAGTTGCAGATGCCACGTCATCGCCCACACTCACGCCGTCCAGCTCACCTGCACCACCAGGAGTGAACTGTGCGTTCATGGACATCCAGGTGTGGTTTGCGATCAAGGATGAGGCGTATGTGGGAGAGTGCAGTGAGGATGGCATAGTGGATAGGTATACTTTCCCGGTCGATGGCAAGTGCACGTTGGTCACCAAGGATGGCGAGATCCCCTTGGTGTGGATTTCGGGTACAGTGTCTACTGACGATGAGGCTAACGTGGGGTTGTACTCAGACGACGCATGTGTGCAACGGGTGGGGTTGTTTGAAGACATGGATGTGAGCTCCAACGCAGGAAGATGCTACACGGACGAGAATGAGCAGGTCTCTGTCAAGCCAGGCGAGTGCACCGATTAAAACAATGCAACGGATCATTCCGAGTGGCAGATAGGCGGTGTTATAGAATGTACGTGATATAATGAGATAGTAAATATAAATAATAAAGGGATATAATTCAGGTATGTGATATAATGAGATAGTAAATATAAATAATAAAAGGATATAATTCAGGCATATGATATAATTCAGGTAAGTGAGACGTTGATATGATCCAAGCGGAGGTGTGCTGTTATGAGTATATTAAACGTGTGCGTGAGGTTAGTAGTGAGTTGCAAGGGGGTGGTGATCTGGCGAGTAGTGGGGAATAGGTTTGATATGTAAGGCTGGCTAGCTGGCTGTTGCTCATGACTGAGATAGGCGGTGTCAGTTGTACTGTGCTGTGTGATATGGAGGGGTGGAGCACGCGCCTAAATGTAGCATCATTGCACCACACCTGTAATCGTATGTAAATAGCTAGTTAAAGTGAGGCATGCGTGAAAGCTCAGCAAAGGTGAGTCGTTTGCGGTCGTACGTATGCGTGAGAATTTGTGATAGTCGAGGTGCCATGGTACTTGTGAGAACGAAGTGTGTGTCAAGGTTACAGTTGTTGTGTTGTGTTGAAGCTTTGTGTTGCGAATGCCCTGTAATGCCTTGAGCACTTGGGACACTGTGTGTGCCTACCGGCACTATACCTGACGGAGATGGCCGTAGACGCACGCAGCATATGAGTACGTCTTAACGCACGCAGCATATGAGTGCGTTTACTATGCACAGAGGGCGCAGATGCAGACTGTGACCACAATATGGGACACGCATGCTCTAGATACAAGCACCGCAAACCCTAAAACCCAGGAGGCGATTGTACGGGTGTCCATCTGCTGTCACTGCACTTGTAATAAAGCCCTAAATGCTGTGGGATGGGTGCACACCACTTCTAGATGGGCAATGGCGACCAACGTCGTCTGGTTACTATGCAAGTGCTATTGGTTACTATGCAGGTGCTATTGATTACTATGCAAGGACTATTGGTTAATATGCATGTGCTATTGGATACTATGCAAGTGCTATTGGTAACTATGCAGGTGCTATTGATTACCATGCAAGTGCTATTGGTAACTATGCAGGTGCTATTGATTACCATGCAAGTGCTATTGATTTCTATGCAAGTGCTATTGGTTACTATGCAAGTGCTATTGATTACTATGCAAGTGCTATTAGATACTATGCAAGTGCTATTGGCTACTATGTAAGTGCTATTGATTACCATGCAAGTGCTATTGATTTCTATGCAAGTGCTATTGGTTACTATGCAAGTGCTATTGATTACTATGCAAGTGCTATTGGTTACTATGCAAGTGTTATTGGTTACTATGCAAGTGCTATTGATTACTATGCAATTACTATTGGTTACTATGCAAGTGCTATTGATTACTATGCAAGTGTTATTGGTTACTATGCAAGTGCTATTGGTTACTATACAAGTGCTATGGACCTTATGAAAGCGCTGGGACTTGAGTCACTTCCTGTGCCGATTCGCGTGTGCACTGGTATTGGACCGGCAGTCAAACACGCGCGACTGCTCAGCTCTGAATGATTGGGATGTGAGTGGCCGTGGAGTGGCTGGGGTATGCATGCCTGGCAACAAGTATGGTGAAGTGTTTAGTATAGTAACAACGGTACACGTGTACATGAAGTTCGGTACCATTGTGGATCCCATGCACTGAGTTTGGTGCGATTGCGACCTGATGGGACTGGACAAGGCAGGTCAAGCGCAATGTGGGTATAATTCGTATGTATA